GACAGGGTGATCCCTGCATCCTGTCCCAGTGACAGGGTGATGCTGGTTCCCGTGTCCCACCCCAGTGACAAAATGGTCCCTGCATCCTCTCCCAGTGCCAGGGGGGTCCCTGTCCCCCAGCCCAGTGGCAGGGTGGTCCCTGTGTCCCATCCCAGTGCCAGGGCGGTCCGTGTCCCCCAGCCCAGTGGCAGGGCAGTCCCTGTGTCCCAGCCCAGTGACAGGGCAGTCCCTGTGTCCCAGCCCAGTGCCAGGGGGGTCCCTGTGTCCCAGCCCAGTGCCAGGGCGGTCCGTGTCCCCCAGCCCAGTGGCACGGCAGCGCTCACCCCGCCTGTGCCATTGCCATTCCCCGCTCGCAGCGCCGCTCCCGCGCTGATTTATGGAAGCACGAGGATGCAATCAAGGCCGCGGCCCCCGAGGAGCCTCGGGCCCGGCAGCAGCGGCGGAATGCCAATGGGGCCGGGCCGGGCGGGTTCCCGGAGGGAAGGTGGATCCCTGCGCCTGTGCCGGAGGGCGCTGGGGCAGGGCTGCGGGAGCGGGATGTGCTCCCGCTGACGGGCGCGTGGGGTCGGGAGGGGCCGCGCCGCATCCCCACCGCCTGTGACAAACGCCATCCCTCCGGGAAGGAGCCCCGGGCACAGCAAATATCTCCGTGCAAAGACAGCGCCAGCGTGGAGTGACAGGATTTGTCACCAGCTGCTGGGAAGGCGCCAGAGCCGCGCAGCCTTTGCCTGAGCCCCGGCGAGCCCCGGGCACCCTCTGTCCCCGACCCCAGCCCCGAGCAGCCGCTCCCGGCAGCGATTCCCGGCCCGGGCTGGCTCCTCTCGCCTGACGTGAGCTGATTTTGGGAGGCAGTGGGTGGCGAGGGAGTACAGCTGCCGCTAAGTTATCCAAACGATTTATCTTAAGATTCATCCAGAATTCATGGCGCGGGAGCCTGGGCCGTGTCCGCCGTTAATATTCATGCGGATTTGGAGCAGCGTTAATCACCGGCGCTGACAATTGGCACTTCCCTTAATTGCCCGCGCAGCCGGCTCTGCCCGCCGTGCCCGGCCCCCCCGGGATGGGAGCAGTGTCACCGAATGTCCCCGCCTGGCTTTTCGTCCCCGTCTTGGTGCGGCGCGAGGGGCTGCTCCCCAGCTCCCTGCTCGGAGCATCCCCAGGGCTGCGCCCACAGCTCCGGGGCCTGGCGCGTCCCCGGGGCTCTCGCTGTGCTCCAGTGCCACATCCCAGCGCGGGGACACGGATCTGGCTCCCGGGGCAGCCGCGCCCTCGCTGCCGCCGTCCCCGTGGCCGGTGCAGCATCCCCAGGGTGACATCGCTGCGCCCCCGGCGGAGCTCAGGGGCCTGGCTGCTGTGACAGCCACCCCCGGGCTGTGCCACCCTGCCGTGCCTCATTCCAGCTGGGCACGCTGAGCTGGGTGCCAGCAGAGCTCTGTCCTCGCCGTGCCCGTGGCTGCTGGAGCGTCCCCGGCACCCCTGGAGCAGCTCCCACCCTCCCGGAGCGTCCCCCCGGGGCTCTCCCAGCCCTCCCCGGCACATCCCGGCCCGGAGAGGCGGATCGGGAGCCCGGCGGGGCTGCGGCCTGGCTGCCAAGCCGCCGGCTGCCGCTGTCGCCGTGGCTGGCGTTACCTGTCACCGCTGTCACTCCGCTGCCATCCCGCCAGCTGCCGCGGCGCGCCCGCGGAATGCCGATGAGGATGCGGGAGCTGCGGCACCCCGGGCACGGGGACAGCGACAGCGGGGGCCACGGGCAGGGCTGGCAGCCGAGACCCCGCAGCTCGTGGCAGCAGCGTGGGGGGACACGGGGGTGTCACCAGCACGGGCAGGACACGGCCATGGGGTCACTCTTGGGGCCCTTCGCCCCAAAACCAACGCCGGGAGCAGAACATGGGGCTGGGACCCTCCTCCCAGTGCCATCCACCCCCTGCAGAGCCAAAGTAATCCCAAAAAATCCCGCAGACCCCGGCCCCAATCCCTGGTGCCCCTCTCGCCGCGGGTTTCAGCTGTCCTCGCGCTGTAATTGTCCTAATTAGATCGGCAGATCTGGATGAAGGTTTCACAAGGAGCACGAAGCAGGGAGGCAGGAGGAGATAATGGAATCGCGGATGACATTCCCATCACCCAGCCTCTCCCGCCGCCGCTGCAGCCCGGACGGGAAATTATGCGGGAGGGGGGAGGAAAATTACCATAATCTTCCTCTGCAGGATGAGACCAAACTGGGCTGGAGCGAGAGCGGGGACAGGGAGCTGCTCTGTCCTCAGCCGGGTGTCACCCGTCCGTGTCACACGCTGCCCGTGCCGCGGTGCCAGCCCCGACCCGGCGCTGCTCTGTGCCCGCCTGGCACTGCCCAGCCCCCGTGGGTGGGGTCCCCTGTGTCCCATCAGGTCCCGGGTGTGTCAGGTGTCATCCCTGGGGCACCACTGGTGACCCCCGGTGGGTGTGGGGACATTGGGGGACACTGAGGGGGTCCCGGGTGTGTCAGGTGCCACCCCTAGGGCACCACTGGTGACCCCCGGTGGGTGTGGGGACATTGGGGGACACTGAGGGACACACGGGGACAAGGCACAGCACCTCACGTGCTGGCCTGTGCCCCCAGCCAGGGCAGGGCCCCTCTGGGGGGGACAGGGAGGGACACTGGGGTGTCACCCCCCGGCTCCAGCTTCTCACAGCCCCCAAAACAATCTGGGGCAGAGCAGGAGCTGCTCCCCCTGCGGATGCTGCTCCTGCTCCATCGGGGTGCTCTGCCCAGGCAGGATCCAGCCCAGCCCATCCCCAATTTAAAAAAATATCTGTATTCCAGAGCTCCCAGCAGTGCCCGCTGCCTGCAGGAAACTTCCAGCCCAGGGATCCTTCTTCTCCCTGCTCTGGCCACGCCGCGGTGCCAAAAATGGCCTCAAATGCCCCCCAGACCTTTCCCAGCCCTGCGCTCCCCCTTCCCCACATTGCTGCCTCCTTCCCAGGGCATTTCCATGAAAACAGGCGCTTTGTTTGCGGGGATTCAGCTCTGCCCCCTCAGCCTTTGTCCTCCCCGAGCACGGAACAAAGGGGGACGAGCCGGGAGAGCAGCACGGAGCCCCCGGAGGGGGGTTTGGGCCCCCAACTGCCCGTGGCTGATGGATGGGCCCGGGAGCCCCGCACGGAGATCCGGGCACGCAGGAAAATGAGAGTGAAAGGGGAAAAAGAGGGGACAGGGAGAGATTCCTGTCCCTGGCAGTGATAAATGCTCCCAGCACACGGCAGAGAGGGCAATCCACCTTTCTCCTCTGTGCTGGGGGGAGAAATTCTGCTGAACTGGGGGAGGAATCAATTCCTGCTGCAGTTTGTGCCCTGACCCTGCAGGGAGCGCGTCCTGCCGTGCCTCCTGCTCCCAACCCAGCCCCGAGGGACTGGGAGAGCACAGCAGGGCTGCACGGTGACAGGGACAGAGGTGCCAGCACCCTGGGAACGGTGTGGGCACATGTGTTGGGAAGAGAAGAATTCAGGGGGAATTCCCTCCTGGAAGAGCTGCCCGGGCAGGTTTGGAGTGCCCATGCCTGGAGGTGCCCAAGGAAGGGCTGGAGGTGGCACTGGGAGCTCCGGGCTGGGGACAAGGAGAGGATGGGCACAGCTGGGATTCACTCCTGGTCTTTTTCCAGCCTGATCCCGGGATTCTGCCGGGCACGGCTCCATCTGCCACCCCCCGCCGTGTCTCAGCCACTCGTGTCCCCAGCGTGGGGCTCGGCCCCCCGGGATGTCCCCATTCCCGAGGACAGGGACACCTCCCGTGCCCAGGTCCATGTGGGACCCCGAAATTGAGCGTGGCCGTAGAACCCTGGGATGGTTTGGCTGGGAAGGACCTTAAAGCCCCTCCAGTTCCCCCTCGCCGTGGGCAGGGACACGTCCCGGTGCCCCGGGGTGCTCCAGGCCCCGTCCAGCCCGGCCCGGCCTGGCCTCTCCCTCCTCTCCCTCCTTCCCTCCTCCCCGTGTGACCTCGCCGGGTGGGGGGCACCGGAGCTGCCACAGGGACCCCCCCTCACTGCCCCAGCCCCACAGCCCTGCCCAGGCTCTCCTCACCTGCAGCCCCATTAAGGACGGGCTAATTACGGATAATTGATGCTCAGGGGCCGGGATGGAGCAGAACCGTGACCCAGAAAAACCCGTTTTTGGTCTGTTTTTGGTGATCACTCCCTGCCGGCGCTGAGAAGGCGAAGTCACCGCCGGGGAGGCCCCGTGGCACCTCCCTGTCCCCCCGGGGGCTGCCGGGGTCCCCAAGGGGGACAAGGGACAGAGCCGGGGCTGGGACAGCACAGGGGCTCTGGGGAGGGAGCCGAGCCTGTGCCACCAGGTCCCACATCGAGCCACCAGGTCCCTGAGGTCCCACATCATGCCACCAGGTCCCTGAGGTCCCACATCATGCCACCAGGTCCCACATTGTGGTTCCAGGTCCCCAGGTCCCAAATTGTGTCACCAGGTCCTTGAGGTGCCACACTGAGCCACCAGCTCCCCCAGTGTGCCACCAGGTCCCCAGGTCCCACATCATGCCACCAGGTCCCCAAGGGCCCAGGTGCCACCCGCAGCTCCTGGAGGGGTGCTGGGAACGAAGGGATGCCTTGGGGTGGCTTTGGAAACTCATCTTTCCTCCAGGGACTCCCTTTGGAGCTGCTGGAGACGAGGAGGAGGAGGAGGAGGAGGAGGAGGAAGGGTCCCCAGCGACCTCACCAGCCCCACACACCAAGGGGCTCCGGGGCACCCCCAAACCACGAGGCTGGAGCCCCCCATCCTCCCACGGCGCTCCCCGAGCAGAACCCGGGGGGTTTTTAATCTCAGCCTGGCACGGAGGGTGACTTAGGGGCGTTAATTGAATTTCCTGCAGCGGCAGAGCCGGGCCGGGCCGGGGGGAGGCAGCAGGGAATGCATTTGATGTCTGGGAAAAGCGGATTCCAGCGTGGGGGGGTTGGGGCTGGCTTTTTTTAATTTTAATTTTTTTTTTAATTTAAAGTCGGTCGTAAAAAGAGCCTGACTTTGAGCAGCTAACGACTCTCATGAATAATTTTTGTTGATTTAGGCGCCCACTCGGCTTTAAATGTTGTTAATAAAGGAGGAGTGATGCCTTTCCCCGGGGAGGGGGGACAGGGACACAGCCCCTTCCCTGCCCCAGGGAAGGATTTGGGGTGGATTTGGGGTGCAGAAGGAGCTGGCTGGAATATCCCATCCCGAGGGTCAGGGCTGGCTTCACACCTTCATTAACGACACAAAAAAATGGAATTGGATGGGAGGGACCAGACCCTAAACTCATCCCATCCCACCCCCGACACCTCCCACCATCCCGGGCTGCTCCAAAACATCCAACCCAGCCCGAATCTTCCCGTGATCCCACAAAACCCGGGGGGTTTTGGGGTGCCTCAGCCTCCCCCAGTGCCAACACGGGCACTTCCCGCGGCACTTTAGTTTTATTGTCGTGCCAAAAGCTTTAATTCGGGGCTGTCGCGCTCGCTCGCCGCTGATTTACGCTGCCAGGGCTTTAATTACAGCATTCAGCATTTCTGAAATGGTGAAAAACCGCCCGGGCTCGGGAGCAATTAAAAGGCAGCGGAGTAGATCAGCCCATCAGAGAGGAGATAAGTAAATCAAACAATTAAAAAGCTCCTTTGGCGGCGAGGGGGAAGGGTCTCACCCCAAAATCCCCTCCCGGCTGGGAGCCCTGGGCTGGCATGGCAGGTTTCACCCAGTAACTGGGCTGGGGGATACTGGGAGCTACTGGGGGCTGTGACCCCATCCAGAACCCCCTAGGGGCATCCCAGCACCCCAAAAACCCGCCCAGCAACCCCAAAAATCCACCCAGCAACCCCGAAAAACGGCCCAGCACCCCAAAAACCGGTCCAGCAACCCCAAAAAATGGCCCAGCACCCCAAAAACCCACCCAGCAACCCCAAAAACCCACCCAGCAACCCCGAAAAATGGCCCAGCACCCCCCATAAACCTGCCCAGCACCCCAAAACCCCGGCCCAGCAACCCCAAAAATCCACCCAGCAACCCCAAAAACCTACCCAGCACCCCAAAAAAATGGCTCAGCTGCCCCAAAAATCCACCCAGCACCCCAAAAATCCGGTCCAACACCCCCAAAAAACTCTCCCAGCACCCCAATTAGGGGCATCCCAGCACCCCAAAAACCGGCCCAGCAACTCCAAAAACCCACCCAGCAGCCCCGAAAAACGGCCCAGCTGCTCCAAAAATCCACCCAGCACCCCAAAAACCCGGTCCAACACCCCCAAAAAATCGCCCAGCACCCCAAAAACCCGCCCAGCACCCCAAAACCCCGGCCCAGCAACCCCAAAAATCCACCCAGCAACCCCAAAAACCTACCCAGCACCCCAAAAAAATGGCTCAGCTGCCCCAAAAATCCACCCAGCACCCCAAAAATCCGGTCCAACACCCCCAAAAAACTCTCCCAGCACCCCAAAAAGTGGCTCAGCTCCCCCCAAAACAGCCCAGCATGCCCAAAAAACCGGCGTAGCACCCCAAAAAACAGCCCAGCACCCCCAGAAACCGGCACAGCACCCCAAAAAATGCCCCATCACCCCCCATAAACCTGCCCAGCACCCCAAAAACCCGGCCCAGTACCCCAAAAAATGGCCCATCACCCCCCATAAGCCTGCCCAGCACCCCAAAAACCGGCTCAGCTGCCCCAAAAATCCACCCAGCACCCCAAAAATCCGGTCCAACACCCCCAAAAAACTCTCCCAGCACCCCAAAAAGTGGCTCAGCTCCCCCCAAAACAGCCCAGCATGCCCAAAAAACCGGCGTAGCACCCCAAAAAACAGCCCAGCACCCCCAGAAACCGGCACAGCACCCCAAAAAATGCCCCATCACCCCCCATAAACCTGCCCAGCACCCCAAAAACCCGGCCCAGTACCCCAAAAAATGGCCCATCACCCCCCATAAGCCTGCCCAGCACCCCAAAAACCGGCTCAGCTGCCCCAAAAATCCACCCAGCACCCCAAAAATACGGTCCAACACCCCCAAAAAACTCTCCCAGCACCCCAAAAAGTGGCTCAGCTCCCCCCAAAACAGCCCAGCACCCCAAAAACAGCCCAGCACCGCCCAAAAACCGGGCCTGTTCCCCCAAAAATCAGCCCAGCACCCCCCAAAAACCCACCCAGCACCCCCAGAAACCGGCCCAGCACCCCCAGAAACCGGCCCAGCACCCCCAGAAACCGGCTCAGCTCCCCCAAAAATCCACCCAGCACCCCCAAAAATGCCCCATCACCCCCCATAAACCTACTCAGCACCCCAAAAAATCCACCCAGCACCCCAAAAAACTCTCCCAGCAGTCCCAAAAAACGGCCCAGCACCCCAAAAAACCTGCTCAGCACCCCAAAAACCGACCCAGCTCCCCCCAAAACCCTCCCAGCACCCCAAAAACCTCTCCCAGCTCCCCCAAAAACCGGCATAGCAGCCCAAAAGATGGCCCAGTACCCCCCTAAAATCGGCCCAGCACCCCCAGAAACCGGCCCAGCCGCACTCAGGGCTTGGCAGGAAGGGGACGAGGACAGGATGGGGAGGGGACAGCGGCGGTGACCCGACGGGGACAGGGCCGGGCCGGGCTCCCTCCCGCCCCTCCCCGGGCGCTGCCGCTTCCCGCGGGCCCGAGGCTCCCTCTGGCGGCACGAGCGGGCCATGGCAGCCCCGGCACCAACCGGCCTCCCAGGCGGAGCATCCCCGAGGGGCTCGGGAAACGCCAGCAGCCGTGCCCGGCAGCCCCCGGGAGGCTCGCGGTGCCGGTCCGCCCGCACCGGGGCCAGGGCCGAGCCCGGCCCGCTCATGGCAGCGCCCGCCGCCGCCGCCATCCGAGGCTTTTTGTCCGCCGCCCGCGCCGTAGGATATAAAGCCCCGGATGCGGAAGTGCCGCGCTCATTTCCGGTTTGTTCTCAGCGGCTGCGGGTGAGCGATGGCGGCCGGGGGGACCCGGGGGGGGCCTGAGGGGATCCGCCGCCATCCGCGGCCCCGCGGCACCGGGCGGCCCTGGGCGAGCCGGGCGGGAGGAGGGGGCGCGGGGGCACCCGATGGCGGGGGCTGACACCATCTTGGTTGGTTTTGCCGCAGGTTGGAGCTGCCGGAGCTGCGCGGGAGCCATGGTGAGGGCCGGGGCTGCGGGGGGAGGCCGGGCTGGCTCTGGGGGCCGGGGCGCGGGCTGGCCGTGGGTGAGCGGGGCCCTGGCGGCTCTGTGAGCCCCGCGGCTCGGGGCGGAGCCGGGCGGGCTTTGGGGTCCTTTCCAAGCGGAACATTCCATGATTCCCATTTGTGTTCGGCCTCGCAGCCTCGCAAGATTGAGGAGATCAAGGACTTCCTGCTGACGGCGCGGCGGAAGGACGCCAAGTGTGAGTGGGGGTCTGGGGGCTGCTGCAGCCCCTCGCCCGGCAGTGCCGGGGCTCGGGGACACGGCCCTGCTGTGGGGGTGTCCCGGGAGCCCCAGCTGTGCGTCCCCGGGGTTGCCAAACCCCTGGAGACAATTCCCAAACCCCCCCTGCTCTGTGGAGCCCTGGAGCTCTGCCCCGCAGGTGATTCACTCCTCATCCTCAGCGGCAGAGTTTTGTTGCCACCACAGAGCGAGGCTAATGGAGACAGAGTGCTGCCTTGTCTCAACAGCACGGGAGGAGGGTTTTCCCTCTTGTTCCTCTTGTTTGGACCTGGCTGTCACAGGATGCCGTGACAAGGGAGAGCTGAGCCCTCACGGGGCTTTTTCTCTCTGGGTGGGGCTGGAGGTTTCTGCACGGGGCACTGGGGTCCCCAGGGATGACACGGGGTGTCCCTGCTGTCCCCTCCACCCCGCAGCCGTCAAGATCAAGAAGAACAAGGACAATGTGAAGTTCAAGGTGCGCTGCAGCCGGTACCTCTACACGCTGGTCATCACCGACAAGGAGAAGGCGGAGAAGCTGAAGCAGTCCCTGCCCCCAGGTACCCCGGGAGTCTCCTGCTGGGTGGGTGGGATTGAGGGCGGTGAGAGCCCCTCCCTGGGCAGGGGTCCCTGCTGTCACCAGCAGTGCCTTGCTCGTGTCCCCGTGGAGCTGGAGGGCCCCAGGCACCCCTTCCATGCCGGGCCCCCAGCCCATGGCCTCTCTCCTCCCAGGTCTGGCCGTGAAGGAGCTGAAGTGAGCCGGGATCAGCTGCGTGCCTGTTGGAGTCTCTGTGTTTGTTAAAATAAATAAAAAAAACCTGTTCCTGGTGTCACGTTTGGTCTGTCACAAGTTGCTGCTCGCGGCCCTGGAGCCGCTCTGGGCTCCTGGGGCTGGTGCTGCTCCCGGCACAGGGGCCGGGGCCGGCTCTGGTACCGGGCGGCACCGGGGAGTCACCGGAGCTGCCCGTTTGCTGTGGGTGACAGCTGGGGACAGGACCCGCGGGACGTGGGGTGGCACACAGGGCCACCAGCGCGTCCTGCTCGGCAGGGCTGTCGGGTGTCCCTGCAGCAGGGGTCGGTGTCGCCGTGCGCGGCCCCTGCGCGGCGGCCGCTGCCGGGGCGGGGCGCGGGGCGGCACCGGGAGGCGGTACCGGTGGGTGGCTCCCGGCCCGCCATGGGGCCCGCCCGCGCCGCTTACCTGGCGCCCTGGTGGGCGGCCTGGCTGCACGGGCTCCCGCACCGCGGCCCGCGCCTGCAGCCCGTGCCCAGCACCTTCCGCCCGCAGGACCCCGACTACCAGCAGGTACCGGCCGGGCCCCGCGCCCCCCGCGCCCCCCGCTCCCACTCCCGCGCCGCTCCCTCTGCTCCCCCCGAGCCCCTGCCCCGCTCCCGGAGCCGCCGCGATCCCCCGGCGTCCCGGGGCACGGCCCGCCGTGACCCTGCGCGGGGAGGGGGCAGCGCCGCGCTCCCGGGGCCCCGACAGCCCCGCAAGGGCGGCTGCGGCCCCGGCTCGGCCCCCGCGGCTGGGGGCCCTGCGTGGGAATGGGGACAGGCTGGGGACGGGGACGGGGACGCTTCTTCCTCTTCCCCACGTGACAGTCCCGTGGGGCGCGGAACGCGGCCGCCAGAGCGGGTCACAGGCACGGCGTCTCACTGTCTCCTCTCTCCTTCCAGTCGCTGCTTGTCCTGGGCTTGCTGGCCGCCGTGTGCCTCGGCCTCAACCTCCTCTTCCTCATCGTGTACCTGATCTGCCTGTGCTGCTGCAAGAGGGACCAGGACCCCGAGAGCAAGCGGCCCCACTCGTGTTGTGTCACCTGGATGGCCGTCACCGCGGGGCTCATCTGCTGGTGAGCACGGGGACAGGGACCTGGTGCTGTCCCCCTGTCACCGAGGGGACTCTGCGCTCCAGGCACGAGTCGCTTTAATTAGATCTGTGCAACAAACGTGCTCCATCCCTGCCTGCTCCCGTGCAGCTGCCGGGGCAGCCCCAGGGAGCAGCTGCGGGCCAGCCCGGCCCCGGCCCCGGCCCCGTCAGGGCTGTGCCGCCTTCCCGGCTAATCCCGGGCGGGAGCGTGGCCGCTCGATAATCCCAGCCCAGAGCAGATGGCGGGCGGCAGCGTGACCCAGCTGGCGGGTCCCTTGTGCCCAACCTTAATTGCAACCACAACAATTAGACAAGGGGACGCTTCTTCACCCGGCACCACTCTGGGGGCTTTCCAAGCCCACCTCGGTTCGGGGCAGCCGTGGCTGGGAGGACCCCCAGGGCAGCCATCCCGAGTGTCCCCCGGCATTGGTGGCCTGGGGGCGAGCAGGATGGGCCACGGGCCCCTCTGGCTGCCTGGCCACGACCCTCACTCCAGACAAAGGGAGCTGTGCTGGGGCGGAGCGAGATGGCTGCCTGCGAGCCTCGCACGGAGCGGGGAAACAGGGAGACAGGGAAACGGCACTAATGAGCTCCCCCAGCATGGCAGGGGGGCACTCTGCAGCTCCCGGGGGCTTTGAACCCCCCCAGCAGCCCCTTGCTGGGCCGGTGTGTGTAGGTTGTACCGGGGTTTGGTGAGCACCGTGTGCACCAGCCACGTGTGGGCACGTGCCCGGCCAGGACACGGCCACGGGCACCTCTGTCCTCGGAGCCAGCTCCGAGCTCCATCCCAGCTCCGTGGGGAGCTCTGCAGCAGCTGCAGGGAGCCGAAGGTTCAATCGGAGCCACGGCGCTTCCAGCGGATTCCCCTAATCTGCTTGGCCCAGCCCCTCCGCCCTCAATCTCTCGGGGTTTGGCAGGAGGAGCTTCCAAGCCAGCGTGCCCACGGAGCAGCTCCGGCTGTCCCCAGGCCCCTGTCACCAGCAGGAGCAGGTTCCCATCGTGGTGCTGTCCCTGCCCCACTCTTTGTCCCTGCCCTGCCGCTGGTGGGCTGTCCCCCCACAGCAGGGCAGTGTCCCCTGTGTGGCAGGGTGAGCGTGTCTCTCCCCTGCCATCAGGGTCCCCTCTCTGCCCACAGCGCGGCCGTCGGCGTCGGCTTCTACGGGAACAGCGAGACCAACGACGGGGTTTTCCAGCTGCTCTATGCCCTGGACCACGCCAACCAGACCCTCACGGGCATCGACTCCCTGGTAGGGCCACGGCCCCGGGGTGCCTCAGTCCCCTGCTGTGGGTTTGGTTGAAGCACCAGGGAGGGACGTCCGGCCATGTCCCCGGGGTGGCCGTGCTGGCCGAGCGCGGGAGGGTGACGTCACCCCACAGAAAGGGACCTTTGTGGCCCAGCAGGGCCGGGTCAGGGCCATGGCAGGGCTGTTCAGGGGTGGGGTGGAGCTGCTTTCCTGGAGAAAGCATTCCAGGGACGGGGCATGTGGCTCTGCCAGGCTGGTGGGTGCTGACCATCCTGGAGCACTGACCATCCTAGGGACTGACCATCCTGGGGACTGTCCATCCCAGGCACTGACCATGCCAGGGCACTGACCATCCCGGGGACTGACCATCCCGGGGACTGTCCATCCCAGGGACTGTCCATCCCAGGGACTGACCATCCCAGGCACTGACCATCCCAGGGCACTGACCATCCTGGGGACTGTCCATCCTAGGGACTGACCATCCCAGACACTGACCATCCTGGAGACAGACCATCCCAGGGGACTGTCCATCCCAGGGACTGACCATCCCAGACACTGACCATCCTGGAGACAGACCATCCCAGGGACTGTCCATCCCAGGGACTGTCCATCCCAGGGACTGACCATCCCAGGCACTGACCATCCCAGGGCACTGACCATCCTGGGGACTGTCCATCCTAGGGACTGACCATCCCAGACACTGACCATCCTGGAGACAGACCATCCCAGGGGACTGTCCATCCCAGGGACTGACCATCCCAGGCACTGACCATCCCAGGGACTGACCATCCCGGGCACTGACCATGCCAGGCACTGCCCATCCTGGGGACTGACCATCCCGGTTGCACCATCCCGCAGGTTGCCAGCACCACGCTGCAGATGCAGGGAGCGCTGGAGCAGCACCTGGCACGGCTGAACGAGCTGCTGGCCTCGCGGGGGGATTACGTGCAGACCCTCAAGTTCACGCAGCAGCTGGCTGGCAGCATTGCCCTGCAGCTCCAGGGGCTGCCGGCCTGGTGGGGCGTCAGCGCTGACCTCACCGAGCTGTCGGGACAGGTGGCCTATGTCGAGTATTACCGGTGAGCTCCAGCGCCCCAGGCTGTCCCAGCAGGGCCGGGGGCGTGCCTGTGTGTGACAGAGCCTTCCTCTGCACCCAGGTGGTTGGCCTACCTGCTCTTCTTCATCCTCGTGCTCACCGTCTGCCTGCTGGCCTGCCTGGGGCTGGCCAAGCACTCCCGCTGCCTCCTGGTCATGTGAGTACCCTGGGCACGGCCTGGGGGGGCTCAGGGGCACCCCAGCCATGCTCCCCTCTCGTGCTCCCGCTCTCCCTGCAGGATGCTGTGCTGTGGGCTGCTCATGCTGGTCCTCAGCTGGGCCTCCATGGCCGTGGACACGGCGGCCGCGGTGGTGAGTGGGGCAGGAGGGAGGGAGGGAAGGGCTGCTCGGGGCTGTGCCGAGCGCTGCGGGCATCGGTGACATCCCTCTGTCCCCACAGGGCACCAGCGACTTCTGCGTGGCCCCGGACAAGTTCATCATGAACCAGACGGACGATGAGATCAGCGCAGGTGAGGGCTGGCTGAGAGCTGGAGGCGAGCACGGGCAGGACCCCAAAACCCACCTGGGGGCCCGATGCCCCCACTGCCACTGTCCCCCCACGGCTCCTGTGCCCCAGGATGCTCCTGCTGATGTTCCCATTCTCTCTGCAGAGGTGGTTCATTATTACCTATACTGTGACCAGAGCCTGAGCAGCCCCTTCCAGCAGGTACAGGGGGGGTGGGCACCCCCTTTGGTGCTGCCTGGGGCTGTGGGGGTCTGTGACTGTGCCCCACTCCCCCCTGCAGGCTCTCACCGTGTTCCAGCGCTCGCTGACCACCATGCAGATCCAGATCCAGGGGCTCATCCAGTATGCACTGCCCCTCTTCCCCACAGCTGAGGTACAGGAGGGGGGAGCAGGTGTCCCCATCCCTCTCTCTGCTCCCCAGAGCTGCCTGACCCCCTCTTTTCCCACAGAAAGACCTGCTGGGGGTGCAGCAGCTCCTCAACTCCTCGGAGACCAGCCTGCACCAGCTGACAGCCCTGCTGGACTGCCGGGGGCTGCACAAGGTGAGGGGGGGCTGACTGGGGACCAGCTCTGGGGTCCCCCTGCGGTGCCACCAGCGCTGCCCTGCCTGTGTCCCGCCAGGATTACCTGGATGGCCTCATCGGGATCTGCTACGACGGCGTGGAGGGGCTGCTCTACCTGGGGCTCTTCTCCCTGCTGGCGGCCGCCGCCTTCTCCACGGTGATCTGCGCGGCCCCGCGCGCCTGGCAGCAGCTGGCCGGGCGGTGCGTGTGCCCCCGACCCCCCCCGGGCACAGAGACCCCCAGCTTTGTCACCGGGGTGTGACTGGCAGCGCCTTGTCCCCGCAGGGAGCGGGACTACGACGACATGGACGAGGAGGACCCGTTCAACCCGCAGGCGCGGCGCATGGCCGCGCACCGCCCGCCGCGGGGGCAGCTGCGCAGCTTCTGCAGCTACAGCAGCAGCCTGGGCAGCCAGAGCAGCCTGCACCCCCCGGCACAGACCGTGTCCAACGCGCCCGTCTCCGAGTACATGTGAGCCCCCCGAGCCCCCCGCCCGGCGGCCGTGCCGGGCAGGGCGTGACGGGGTCCCATTGCCCCCAGGAACCAGGCCGTGCTCTTCGGAGGGAACCCCCGCTACGAGAACGTGCCCCTCATCGGCAGGGGCTCTCCTCCCCCCACGGTACGATGGGGGACCCAGGCCAAAACCCTTGTGACAGCCGGGGGTCACTGGATCTGCTGGGTGGGACAGGGTGGGAGATTCTGGTTCCTCCTGCTCGGCTCTAACCCAATTCCCGGCCACCCACGGGGAGGGGACACCAAAATAAGCCTCCCCTCCCTCCCTTCCCTGTGCTTCCTCTCCATCCTGGCTCTCAGAGGATGCTCCTCGCAGTCTCTCCCCCCCTCACATTCCCATTTCCCTGCTCGTTAATCCTGCCCTGTCTGGTATTGCTGCTTCATTTTTTATTCCTTGTCCTTTTATTTATTTCTTCTTTTTTTTTTTTTTTTTTTGTGATTTATTTTAATTTTTGGCATCCATTATTTTGGAGCTAAGTTGCCCATCAAGAGTAAGTTCAGCCACTTCCTTCTCCCTCCTTATCCCGGGGCAGCAGCCAGGTTCTCCCCTCCTTCTCACCCTTCCACACCTCCCTCCATCCCCTTTTCCTGCTTGGCTTTTGGGGTGCAGAGAGCTCAGGGAGGGGGGGACAAAGGGCCAGGAGGATTTTCAGCTCCCACCTGTTGGGATGCTGGTCCCTGTCTCCATCCCTGCAGCAGTGCAGCCCCTCCCAGCCAGGATAAGGCTCCAGGAATGCTGCTGTGGCAGGAATACTGTCACTCTCCTCCAGGGATGATTTTTCCACCAGGTGGAAGCTTGGATCCCATCTCACAGAGCTGGCAGCTGGCGAGAGCCTCCTCCCGGGGGGGGACACGAGTGGGGGGATTAATTGGATGCTTCTCCCAGCTCTGAATAGTCTGATTCACCCAGGATTGAGATCCCTGAGGAAACACTTTCTGAGTCCAGAATAACAAACTCAGAATAATCTTCCTTAATGCCTGCCCAGGATGATCCTCCCTGCTGGGAAATCCTGGGGGGATGTGATCCTGGGGGGGCTGCAGGCTTGGCCTCCTGGCATCCCACACACACACCCCTACAGGCAGCTTTGGGATGAATTTGGGAAGCTGGGAAGATGGAGGATGAACCTGGGGAGGGGCAGAGCGGGGCTGGATGGGCTGGCAGGGTTTTGGCTTGGGGAGGGGGGGCCTTGTCTCCCGCAGCCTCAGCGGGGCTGAGAGCAGGGCCTGGCCCTTCCCGATGAATTTGGGATTAATCAGCGCGGGGCGGTTTGGGGTGCTGACCCCCGTGTGCCCCCCAGTACTCCCCGAGCATGAGAGCCACGTACCTGGCGGTCACCGATGAGCGCGCCCGGCACCGCGGCGACTTCCCGGCCTAGGAGGGGATGGCGCGCGGGACACCAGAGAGCCTGGAGGGAGCCACGGCGGGGCCGGAGCCCCCCAGCACGCCCTGCCCCGGCAGCCCCACATCCCGCTGCCTTACGGGCTCCCAGAGCGCGGAGGGGGCTCCGGAGCTCCTCCCGTCCCTGCGGAACGTTCCGGAACACAGTCTGGAACACAGGGCAGGGGCTCCCGTAGCAATGCAGCACCAACCACTAGTGATCCCAAGCCCTTCCCAGCCCTTCCCGGCTGCCCCGCGGCCGCAGCGTTCCCAGGATGGGGAATTAGGGATGTTGTGGCCTTGCTGGTTTTCCTCCGCTTCGCCCCGGGGTTTGGGAGGTGCTGCCTCTGTTCAGAGAGGAGTCGCTGCAGTGGGGTTTGTAGTGGGATTTGGGGTGGGTTTAGGCTTTTTTTGGCTCCCCAGGGCGGGTGTGGGCTGGGGCAGGCTCCCCTCCTCCTGCAGCCCTGGAGTGGTCACAAATCCCCAGGAGAGGGACGGGAGCTGCAGGGGCATCCCTGGGGAGTCACAGCATGGACCTGCCACCCTGGAGGCCCAGCCAGCACTCCCAGGGCTCCAGGGTGAGGAGCTGGGGGAGCAGTTCGAGCTGAACGTGGCCCTTTGGGGCTGCCCTTTGGCACACGGATCCCCAGGAAAGGCCCCTTCCCCCTGTCCCACCCACCCAGACCCCAAAAGGTGCGGACAGGGCAGTGGTGTGCCCCCCAGGGCCAGGACATCCCCTTCTCCACATTCCCTATGACTAGCATCCCTCCCCTTGGGGACGATCCCGAGGGATTTTTTTATTTTCTTGGCTTTTAACGTTTCCATGTAACAGAACTGGTAGAGGAGCTGTTGTAACCGCATGTGAACTAACCAAAGGACTCCGACTGGGAGCTGGAGTCCGGCTGGATTTGTTTGTGCCCTTTTGGGAGAAAAGATAATAAACACTTGGACTAAATTACTGTCTCCCGTGCGGGTTTTTTTGGGGGGGATAATTCAGTGTTTGGGGCACTTCTGCATTGACCTTCCCAACATGGCGGCGGTCACGTGACGTTGCCGCCGCCATCGCGGTGGTGGCGGTGTCACGTGATCGGGGCAGGCTGTTGCCTGGCAACGGCGACGCGTCCCCGGTCGGGCCCCACCGGAGCGGACGGGACCAGGCCCCGCCGGGCTCCCGGGGCCTCCGCGGCTCCCTCGTCACCCTGGGCGCTTCATCGCTCCGTCCCTGTGGGCCAGCTCCGCTCTGGGGCTCCCTGAGGCTCTGGCTGCCTTTGGAGGCCCTCTCAAGGTCCTCCCTGCGCAGGATCCCTGCTTGCATTTGGGCCGTGCTGAAGTTCCCATTCCCTTTGGGATCTTCTGGGACTCCCTGAGGTTCTTGTTCCCTTTTGAGTCATTCCCAAGGCCCACACAGTCTTCTTGGGCTCTGGAGGGTCCCCACTCCCTTTTGGGGTCCTCCATCTGAGACCCCATTTGTTTTTGGGGCTCCCAGAGGTTCTCAGTCTGTTTCAGCATCCTCCCTCTCCAGGGTCTCTGTTCACATTTGGGTCTCCTTGAGGCTCCCATTCCTTTTTTCCTTTTCCTTCATCCCTGAAACCCTCTCCTTGGATCTCCCTGAGATCCCCACTCCCTTTTGGGGTCCTCTCAGAGGCTCCCACTCTCCTTCGGAACTCTCTCTTCCTCCCTGAGGCCGCTGTTTCCCTTCAGCCCTCCATCCCCACTGCTCTCCACCCCTGAGTCCCCCCTCCTTTTGGGGCTCCCTTGGGGACCCTCCCTCGTGAGCTCCGCAGTCCTTGCCCCCGGTGCCACCATGGAGATCAAGTACGAGTACTCGCGGAAGCGCAGCGACTTCGGCCGGCCCTGCAGCTTCTCAGACCTCCTGGCCGAGGTGACCGTGGACATCCTGCCCGACCCCAGCCTGGCTGACGACTTCATCCCCCAGGACCCCGTGCACTTCGGGGTGCAGGAGGGCCCTGTCATGGCCTTGGACGAGGTACGGGGACAGCCCGGCGTGTCACCCGTGAGGGGCAGCTGGCCCGGGGTGCGACAGGCCCCTTTAGGGCTCAGGGCGCTGTCCCCTCCGTGTCCCCAGGTGAACACGCAGCGGGCAGAGGTGTCCAGCCGCGGTGTGAACCACGTGGAGGGCGGCTGGCCCAAGCACGTCGACCCCAAGAACTCGGAGCTGACCTCCCGCTACCGGGAGGAGGTGGAGAGGGAAGAGGTCTACACCAAGACCGTGCAGCGCCTCGGCGTCGTAAGAGCCTGCCCTGACCCCCCCAGACCCCCCGGGCCCCCCGGAGCCCCCCAGAGCCACGGCCGTGCTGTCCCTGCAGGTGATGGAGCACTACATCAGGCAGAACAACACCATCGACATCTACGAGGAATATTTTGAGGAGGAAGAGGAGGAAGAGGAGGAGGAGGAGCATCCCTCAGCCAAAACCATCAACGTCGTCAGGTAGCACAGCTGGGGGGGGTCTCCAGAGCCTTCACAGAAAATGGGGAACGTTAGGAGTTAAATTCCAGTGGGTTTGGGGTGGTCCTGCTGCAGTTTGTGGGTGCAGAGATCCCCAAACCCGAACCCTGCCTGCCCCACCACTCCATCCCTACCCCTCGCCCTGCCCAGGCGATTTGGGGATGGGAGCCAGGGTCAGACTCAGCTCTGAGCATCTCCTGATGGTGCTTTTGGATTTTCCTCCTTGTTCTCGGTGCCTCTAAGGTTAATTTCCACATCAGGGGTGTTTAGGAGTCAGATCCAGTAAGACAATTGGATTTTTAGACAGGTATGACTGGAAAGAGGATGAAATCATCAACTCTTCTCCCCCCACCCGACCCCTCAGGAGAATCATTTCCTGCACTCAAGGCTCGAGGGCTGCAGATTGGTTTCCTTGTGGTTCCCACAACTCCCTGTGGGAGATGTTCATCCCAGGGCTTTGCAAACTGACCCGTCTTGGCTGATGTGTGCCCCAAAGGGACCCCAACAGGCCCAGGAGGATGGCCACGCACGTCTCCTGGCACCCCGACGGCAACCGCGCCATGGCCGTGGCTTACTGCAGCCTGGACTTCCAGGACAGCAGGAAGGACTTGAGCTTTGATTCCTACATCTGGGATCTGGGTAAGGGCAAGGCCAAACCCTCCAGGATAAGGGAAGCACTTTGTGTCTCAGAGAGCAGTGGAGGCTTGCAGCACCCCGGGGAGGGTCGCTGGGGGAGCCTCAGTGCAGAAACAGGAGAAATGGGAGCTGGGAGGGGGGAAATCACCGCTACAATCCTAGCCAGGCAGCAGAGCCTCACGTGAGGGTCTGGTGTTGATGTGGTTCAGCTGGCAAGGAAGGAAGGGAGAGGCAGCAGGAGCCCGGGGTGAGACTTGTCCAACCCCGTCTCACACCTGACGTGTTTTGGAGTGAAAAGGACAAAAAGAAGGGTGGGGATACAGATTTGTGTACTGAGGGCTGTCCCCAGGCCAGCTCCCAGTGACAAAAAGGGTGGGAATGCAGATTTGGTACTGAGGGGCTGTCCCCAGGCCAGCTCCCAGTGACAAAAAGGGTGGGAATGCAGATCTGTGTACTGAGAGCTGTCCCCAGGCCACCTCCCAGTGACATGGGCTCATCATCCTGCACAGCTGTCAGGGAACAGGGTGGGGACAGCAGGGTGGGCTGGGGGCTTCACCTTTACTTTTCACTCATCCCTCCTTGGCAGAAAAACCCTACACCCCAGAGCTCACCCTCAAGCCCTCGTCCCCTGTGGTGACCCTGGAGTACAATTCCAAGGACTGGCATCACGTGCTGGGAGGCTGCTACAACGGGCAGATAGGTGAGGGGTTAATTCTGCTCCTGCCTGGCTCCAGCCCTGCTGCACTGCCGGGATCTGGGCTGCCCCTGGGGTTTACCTGGGGCCAGGTGTGTGCTCACCTGAGCGGGCACCCAGGGAGGGGAGGGCACTGTGCCAGGGAGCGCTTCCCTTGGGATGGATGGATGGATGGATGGATGGATGGATGGATGATGGATGGATGCGGGATCTGGGCTGCCCCTGGGGTTTACCTGGGGCCAGGTGTGTGCTCACCTGAGAGGGCACCCAGGGAGGGGACGGCACTGTGCCAGGGAGCACTTCACTTGGGATGGATGGATGGATGGATGGATCCATGGATGGATGATGGATGAGGGATGGATGAGGGATGGATGAGGGATGGATGAGGGATGGATGAGGGATGGATGAGGGATGGATGAGGGATGGATGAGGGATGGATGAGGGATGGATGAGGGATGGATGAGGGATGGATGAGGGATGGATGAGGGATGGATGAGGGATGGATGAGGGATGGATGAGGGATGGATGAGGGATGGATGAGGGATGGATGAGGGATGGATGAGGGATGGATGAGGGATGGATGAGGGATGGATGAGGGATGGATGAGGGATGGATGAGGGATGGATGAGGGATGGATGAGGGATGGATGAGGGATGGATGAGGGATGGATGAGGGATGGATGAGGGATGGATGAGGGATGGATGAGGGATGGATGAGGGATGGATGAGGGATGGATGAGGGATGGATGAGGGATGGATGAGGGATGGATGAGGGATGGATGAGGGATGGATGAGGGATGGATGAGGGATGGATGAGGGATGGATGAGGGATGGATGAGGGATGGATGAGGGATGGATGAGGGATGGATGAGGGATGGATGAGGGATGGATGAGGGATGGATGAGGGATGGATGAGGGATGGATGAGGGATGGATGATGGATGGATGGATCCTGGGGATGAGCAGGATGGGTGCTGTGCTCCCACCTCTCCCACCACCCTGGATGATCTCTGGGAAGCACTGGGTGAGGTTTGCTCTCTGTTCCAACTTGGAAAGTGGGGGAAACGTGACAAAGAAAGGAGCTGGGCAGGGGCTTTTCTTTTCCTTCCCAGTGTATTGGGACACCAGGAAAGGGGGGCTGCCCATGGAGATGACCCCTGTGGAGTTCAGCCACAGGGACCCCGTGTACGGAGCGTGCTGGCTGCCCTCCCGAACGGGCACCGAGTGCTTCTCAGGCTCCACCGACGGGCAGGTGAGGGGCTGCAACAGGGGAGGGCTCCTGAAAGAGCTCCCTGTGCCAGCCCTGCCCCTCAGCAGCACAAGATCTCGGTCTCCCAGGCTGGCACGGGGCAGCTGCAGGACTGGCAGCCCCTCTGCCTGTGCTGGGAGCAGCCCCCACAGCCCCTGCCACGCCGTGTCCCCACAGGTCCTGTGGTGGGACATCCGCAAGATGTCACAGCCCAGCGAGAGACTGGTCTTGGACATCACCCGGCAAGACCAGCTGAAGCAGGCTCTGGGTGCCATCTCCCTGGACTTTGCACCCATCCTGGTGAGTGTCCCTGTGCCCTCCACCCACATCCTGGCCTGGGCAGGAGGGGGAGCCCAGCCCAGGGGTTCCCATCCCTAAACCCCCCCGTGGTGGTGGGTCCCAGGGTTCTGGCTGCAGCAGGATCCCCCGCTGCCCCCCACACCATGGGGTCTGCATCCTGCTGACAGCTGCACTCTCCTGCTCCCACCCCCAGCCCACCAAGTTCCTGGTGGGCACAGAGCAGGGCATCATCATCTCCTGCAACCGCGACGCCAAGACACCGCCTGAGAAAATCGCCAACATCTTCAGGAGCCACATCGGGGCTGTCTACAGGGTGACCAGGAACCCCTTCTTCCCCAAAGTCTTCCTGTCAGTCGGTGACTGGACTGCTCGGATCTGGACAGAGGAGCTGATGGATTCATCATCAATTATGGAGACCAAGTAGGTCTCCTTTAGAGAAGTAGTAGAGGGCCTTTAGTCGGCCAGAAATCATCCCCAGGGCAGGTGGCACTGGGGCCAGGTCAGCTCTGGGCTGGTGGCTGAGGCAGGGCAGTGCCAGCGTGGCTGAGGACTGGCTCTGCTGGAAGGTACCACACCTCCTACCTGCTGGACGTGTGCTGGAGCCCCGTGAAGCCGGCCGTGTTCTTCACCGCCAGGTCGGACGGGACCCTGGACATCTGGGACTTCCTCTTCCACCAGAAGGAACCTTCCCTCAGCCTCAGGGTGGGTCCCCAGCACCTCTGCGACCCTCACACCACCCCAGGGCCGAGTGTCACCACCCACCTGTGCCCTGTCCCCAGGTGTCCAACGACCCCCTGCTCAGCCTGTGCTCGCAGGACAACGGGCGCATCATCGCCTTTGGCACCCGGCAGGGCACCGTGTCCCTCCTGGAGATCTCCCCAGGGCTCTGCACCCTCCGCAAGAACGAGAAGACCCTGTCCTCTGCAGTATGTGCCACCTGAGCCCCACACTCTGCCTGCAGCCCTGCGCTGTCCCCAGACACATCACGGGGTCTCCTGTGCCCACATCTGCCCCCAGATGTTCGAGCGGGAGGCCAGGCGGGAGAAGGTCCTGCAGGACAAGTATCGGGAGCGGCTGCTGCGGGAGCAGGAGCGGCTGCGGGTCCAGCCAGAGGAGCAGGAGGATCCCCAGGAGGTGTTCAAGCAGGCCCAAGCAGATTTCCTGTCCAGCATCAAGGCAGAGCGGCAGAGGAGGGGCCTGGAAGTGGCCGGAGAGGTAACGGGGACGGGACAGCCTGGCCACCATGGCAGGGACCCCAGCAAGGGCAGGGGACAGGGTGAACTCTGTCTTTCAGGGTGAAGAGGGGCAGGCAGCTGCACCGGAGGGAAGCAAGGAGAAAGAGTAGGAGGATGCCAAGGTCAGTGTGCTCCAGCTGCACCTTCCTTTCCCCTCCATGCCAGAGCTGCTGCAGGGACCAGGCCACTGTCCCCAGGCCAGGCAGCTCTCCTGGGCTCTCTGCCCTCCTCGGGTGGCAAGTGGGGGACCCTGTACAGCCCCCTGACCCCACAGCTGCTCCCTGGCCTTTGCATCCTTATTTTCTTTGGCGTGAATAAACTGGTGCTTTCCACATCACATTTCCTCTCTTGTCACAGCAGGGTCAAGGTGGGAAAGTCACGTCCTCCTGCTCCTTCTTTCCTTTCCTTGATCCAGGACACTCAAAGCCAGTGCCTGAGCACAGCCAAGCACCCGGGGCAGCACAGGGTGTCCCTCAGTGTCCCCAAGCCATGGAGCAGGGCACAGCAGGGTGGCTGGTGGCAGCAGGGGGCCCCAGTCCCCTCTGGGCCATTTGCACAGGAGAGCCCTGTGTCCCCACTGGAGCAGCCCCGGGCTGGGTTATCAGTGCTGGGTAAACACAGCCCTGCTGGTAGAACCAGCAGCCACCCCAACTCCTCACCCCACTTAATTAATCATTAACGAGCTGCCAGCAGCACTGTCACAGCGATGGGGACATCACACAGGTGGCTCTCTGTGGGCTGAGGGCCAGCCCCCCGGCAGGACCCTTCCCCAGGCTCTGCCCAGGGGCTGAACCCACCTGTGGGTGAGCAATGCCAGGACAGGGTTCAGGGGCCATCTCCCCCCAAAGCCATGCCAAGCAGGGACCTAAATCCCACAGGGAAATGCATCCGTGCCTGGATGGGTGCTCTCCTTCCCAGGAGTTCCATTAGGAGGAGCTGGGCTGGGGAGCAGCGTCACCCCAAAGATGCCCCACACGTCCCACACTCATTTTCTGCTTTATTAGGAAAGGGGTGGGGGTACCTGGACAGGAATGGGGCAGCTGCCACCGCCAAATAGGGACAGTGCCCCCCACCCCTCCTCCACTGGGGGAGGCTGATGGGCCCCTCACCCCCCGACTGGGCAGCTCCGTTTGCTCCTGAGCTGGACCCAGCTGCCCACACAGAGGGACCCCGGGGCTGCCCCACGGGAAGGATGGGCTCTCCCTGTCCCCATCCCCACACCCGCTGGGGTCTGTGATGTGCCCGTGGGCTGCACATTTCACCTCCTGCACCCCCTACATGGGTCTGGGGCACTCCCAGCATCCTCCATCCCCAGGGACAGCGATGGGGACAGGACGTGGCAGGGGAACACTCAGGGAGGGGTGGGCAGTGCAGAGCCCAGTCCTGGAGCCCCCCAGAGAGGGAACCCCCATCTACCTACAGGACCAAGCGTTCCCCCCGTGGTGCTGGCGCCAGCATGGCAGGACCCAACTGCGCCTCGTTACTTCTTCACCTTGATGAGGGAGTGGTAGACAGGCTTGATGATGATGTGCAGGTGCAGGGAGTTGTCGATGAGGTACTCGGAGGTGCGTTTCTGCAGGTCGGCGTGCGCCAGGAAGTCGGCCGCCTCGTCGGAGCTCTGGTGGAAGCTGTAGGCGTGTTTGACCAGCACGCGGCCCTGCTGCCTCACGCCCACCAGCACGGTCTTCTGGAAGCTGACGCCGGCGAAGTCGGGGCTGCTCATGGCCGGGGTGATGACGAGGCGCGGGCGCCCGTCCTCGATGCGCACGGGCTGGATGGCGCCCGCCACCGCGTCTGAGTACACGGGGCGCAGGCTGACGGGCAGCCAGCGCGGCGAGAACAGCACGTTCCAGGTCACCCTCTTGCCGGCGTCGTGGCTGCTGGGCCCCAGCTGGGTCTGGAAGCTGGTGCTGCGGTCGTCCCGCGCCGGGTTGGTGATGACCCACTGGGAGCCCCAGCTGGGCGCGAGGTAGTTGCGGGGCAGGAACATGCTGCAGTTGACGTCAAAGTACTTGGCGAAGTGGAGCGGGGAGGCAGCGTGGAACTGGAAGGCCTGGAAGAGCAGGTCCTGCACGGCGGCGCGGTGCCGCGCCAGCACCGCCGACTGCGCCTGCAGCCGGAACAGCTGGCTGGGCGCGATCATGGGGTAGCGGATGGCGCGCAGCACCCGCTCGGCCACGGGCGCCTCGGGCTGCCGGCGGCTCAGCCAGCCCTCCACGGCGGTGTAGAGCTCCAGCTCGCTGTGCAGCACCAGGTCGGAGCGCTCCAGCAGCAGCAGCAGCAGCTCCACGCTCACCGAGCCCCACTCGGCGCTGCCCAGCACCGCCGACAGGTTCCAGGCCAGGAACTGGAGGCAGCTCTCCTGCAGCGCCGCGTCCCCGACGCGCACGGCGTAGTGGTACCAGCCCACCACGTGGCCCTGGCTCGACTCGCTGGCCAGGTGGGTCCTCATGTATTCGGCCACGCCGCGCTGCAGCCCCCAGACCCGGTACTTGCTGGCCAGCTGGTGCATGGGGATGGCCTGGTGCAGCAGGATGGAGACCCCCCCGCAGTACAGGTACCTGGGGCAGAGCAGGGGCTGGTGACATTGGGGACCAAGGGGCAACATTGGAACCCAGCCCAGGGGAACAGCCTCTGCCCTGGGCTGCTTTCCACTGAGAATTCCCACCCCACGGAGTCCCCAGGGTTCCCAGGGAAGCACCCCCACCATTGGATGCTTCCCTCCCATTCCCCATGATCTCCATGGTCCCCAGGGGAGCATCCTCCTTCCCTGGCTGCATGCCATGAAGTTCCTAGTGGAGCATGCACCTTCTTTGGCTGCATCCCTCCAGGTACACCCATCCCACAGGATCTCCATGGTCACCAGGGGAGAATCCTCCTTCTTGGGCTGCATCCCTCTCAAAATGCACATCCCTCCCAAAATGCACATCCCTCGAGGTCCCTGTGGTTCCCAAGGGAGCATCCCCCTTCCTTGGCTGCATCCCTCTGGGCATCCCCATCCCGTGGAGTTCCCCGTGGAGCTCCCAGGAGAGCTGCACCCTCCTGTGCTCCCCACCCCGCGGGGTCCCCACGCACCTGATGAACTTCTCGAAGAGCGCGGCGGTCTCGGGCGGCTCGTACAGGGTCACGACGCTCTGGTTGCGCAGGAGGCTCTCGAAGACCTCGCTCTGCAGGCTCAGCAGCAGCTGGTGCGTGTGGAACACCTTGGGCTCGTCGGAGGCGGCCGAGCGCACCCGCAGCACCGAGTCGCTGCCGTTGCCGCTCTGCAGCAGCTCCTGCAGCCGCTGCAGCAGCGTCAGCGAGTGGTTGATGGTGGCTGCCGTGGAGTCCCCGCTGAAGTCGGCTTTTTGGGCTGCAGGGAGATGGGAGCGTCCCAGAGCTGCACCCCAGTGCCAGGCACTGAGGTGGGGTGGGGTTACCGGGGGCTGTGAACCTCCTGCCTCCGCTCCCCCAGTGCCAAAGGGCTGCTGGCGCCAAGGGAGCGTGGGGGAACAAAGGACATGGGGACATTTGTGTCCCTGAGAGCCAAAAAACTGCCTTTCTGCAGCAGAAGGGCTGAGACCACCATGTCCCAGGCTGGGGTGTGCTGGGAAATGGCCGGGTGCCGGCGGCACTGGCTCTCAGCCCGGCCTGCCTGTCCTGATCCCGTCCCCGCTGTGGGCAGAGGGAGCCCCGGGCATTGCCCTGATCCCTCACATCCCGGATGGATACGTGGGGGGACAGAGAGCCCCCGGGTGTGGGGAGCCAGGCACGCTCTGCCCCGCAGCCAGGAATGGGGTCCCGAGCAGCCTGGGGACTCCAGCTGCCCTGGTGTCACTTCAGGTCTGTGCTGGGATCACAACAGGGACTGGAGAGGGATCTGGGAATGTGGAACAGGGGTCTCCATGCTCCTGTGGGCACTGGGATCCTTCCTTCCTCTCCTCTTCTCCCTCCTGACACCACTGCCACCCGCTCCTCGGAGTATCTCTCCCCCAGGAGGAATTCGGCCCCGTCTGTCTCAAATCCATCTTCCTTCTCAAATCCCGTCTTGCCGACGGATTACCCTTCCCAGCGCCGGCTTAAGGCCGGGGGGTGAGGAAGGGGAGCGGGGATGAGGGAGAGGAGCAGGAGCCCCGTACCCCGCGGCGCTGGACTCGTCTGCCCGCCACCGAGCCCTTCCCCGGGCACCACCAGCGAGCACAACCCGGCTCCGAGAGCGCAGCGCATCCCGCAGCCACTTCCATCCCCTCGGGGCAGCCCGACGGCAGCCGCAGCGCCGCGCTCAGCTCCATCAGCCGCCGAGCCGCGCCCCGGCACCCGGCGAGGGCAGCGCTACCCGCGGCTCGGGGGGACCCTCCGCGCCTCCCCGCGCCACGGCCACCCTTACCGGCTTGCACGGTGAAGAGGAGGAGGAGGAAGGCGGCGGCAGAGCCGCAGCGGCGGGGGGCGGCGGGCCGGGTGCCCGTCAGCCCGGCCATGGCCTCGCAGGCGCATCTGCCGGGTGCGGCGCACGCTGCCCCGCCGTTTATGTAGGCCACGAGCGCCCGCGCCGCCGCATCGATTGGTGGAAACTGGGACCCGTGGTTGCCACGGGAACGGCTTCCAGCCTCCCCGCATCCCACCGTGACCCCCAGCCCCAGCCCCGCACCCCGGGGTGCTGCGGAGCGGGGACGTCGCCGTGCGGCACCTGCTGCTGGCGCCGCAGCCCCACGCGTGGCCGCGGCCCTTTGTGCCGGGTCTTTGCATTCAGGGCACAGCTCGGTGGCCTCCCGCTCCCCCCGGCTCATGGGTATTCATGCCGGCAGCGGCCCATCACCATGGCATCCGCGCTGCCGGCAGGAACTGCCTGCCCTTTTCCCAGCCTTTGCAGCCAAGAGGCCGCCCGTGCGCCCTGTGCGGCCGCCCTGGCCCCCCGCCCGCCCCGACGCCTCCTGGGGGGCTTCACCACGGGGCTGGGGCCCCCCAAAGCCGCAGCGCCACAGGCGCAGGCTGGGGCGGCGCTGGGGGAGCGGGGTAGGGGCAGCGGTGCCAGCCCAGCCGTGCCGCTTGTGGCCCCGGTGGCACCGTGGGGTGGGGACCCGGGAGCCAGGCGCGGGGACACATCCCACAGGGGAGGAGCACAGCCCGCAGGGCACAGCAGCCCCTTACCCACCGCCGAGGAGCCCCGGACCCCGCACAGCAGTTTGAACACGGGCTTAGACGCTGTTTCCAGATGTTGAGTGTGGGCAGATGTAGCTGCAGCTGCCGAGGGGGTGGGATCACCATCTGTCCCTAACCCTTGGGCGCGGAGACTCAGGACAAGACACCGATCACCCCACGCCACGCTGCTGGGGCCCCCTGGCAGGTGGGTGATGCTCGAGCCCCGTGTCCCTGCTGGGCAGGGGACCCCAAAACCGCGGGGCCAGCAGAGCGCCCGGCCCGGCCGCTGTCCTTGCACCGGGGGGGCCCGGGGCACAGGGCCCCGGCACGGCACAGCCGGTTCACGGCTCAGCGCGTCCTCCGACGCCTCATTTCACCCCCGCCTGATAAACAACAGCCTGTGCGAGCGTGTGCCCGGCGTGCCGCCAGCACCGTGCCAGCCGGGCAGCAGCCTCACCCCGGGACCCCCGTGCTGCTCACGGCAGTGAGGGGACCACGGGGGACACGGGGGAACGGGGGGCTGGTTCCGGAGGTCGCCGGGGGACAGGGTGACACCTCCCCGTCCGCGGTGAGCTGAGGAGCAGCTGCGCCGGCCCGGAGATTGCGGCTGAGGGCTGGCTCACCATAGCGACCTGTGCCAGGCAGCAGTGCCAGGGCATCGCCCCGCGGGCTGGGGGGCACTGGAGAGACGGAGCTGGACCCAGGCACCGGCAGGGGAGAGCAGGTCCCTCCCTGTGCTGCTGGGGAAACTGAGGCACGGTGTCCTGGCAGTGGAGCAGCCAGCGCAGAGCCCAGCAGGGACACGCAGGCAGCGCACACGGATTCACGCTCGTGTGCGCAGCCACACGTCACACCCTGCGCACACCCGCTCCCCTGGGTCCCCAGCGGTGGCCCCCAGCCCAGCTGCCCGCTTGCCCCCTGACCACCACCCCTACCGCTCCGGGGCGGGACGGGCTGTGTCCCGGCCACCGGAGCTGCCCGGTGACCCTTCCCGGCCCCCGCGGAGCCAAGGGCCGGTGACGCCCCCGCGCCCGGCCAGCCCAGCCCGCGGCTCTGCCCACGGCGCGCTCCCTCCGCCCCGTGTCCCGCGCCCCGGAGGCTGTGCTGTGCTGCGGGTGCCCGCGGGGACAGCGACACTGCCGGGGGCACGGACACCAGCGGCACACGGACACTGCCGGGGACACGGACACCAGCGGCACACGGACACTGACGGGGACACGGACGGTCCGTGGGAAACGCCGAGCCCAGGGAAGGTGGCACTGCACGCCCGGCGGGTGGCACTGGGGCCGCCCAGGTGAGGGTCCCCGTCCCGCAGGATTTGGGGAGCGGGAGCCCGGGCGGGGGGAGCAAAGGGGGCCCCGGAGCGAACCCGGCCCCAGCAGCACGAAGGGGATCGGGCTGGGAAAGGGTTAAGGCGCTCGCGGCGCAGCTGCAGCCGATCGATGCCTCAGTTCCGCGGGGGACGTGGACGGACGGGACCTCCTGCTGATGAACCGGAGCTAATTTGCAGTTAATTGGCACCCCTCTGCTCCCCCATCCCCCCCTTCTTCTCCCTCTGGCTGCGCTCAGGATCTTGCTTGGGTCCCAGGGTCGGGCAGGTGGGACCCCCGGGATCCCACACACACCTCGGGCACTTCTGGGGGAGCGGATCCATCACTGGGGGTCTCGGAACGGGCGACAGACCTGGCCGCCCCTCCGGCCCCGAAGCCATCGAGTGTCTGCGACAAGGGGAATTTGGGGTGTCCCTGGGGCCAGGGTCAGACTGGGAGGAGCGTGGTGCCCCGTACCCCCTCCCTGAGCTCGGGAGCCCCCTTTGCACCCCACACCCAAGACACCCCCATCCCAAAGAGCACCCCACAAGCCCCGGGCCCTCCGCACCCACAACCCCCGATCCCATGACCCCCCGCACCCCCAAGCTCCGATCCCAGGGTCTTCCAGGGTCCCCCAGGATCTCCCGGGCTCTCCCATCGTCCCCCATCATCCCCGCACTGGGACCAGGGGTGGCGGTCCCCATGGGACGCAAATTTGGGGGGGGGATTCTGACCAATCAGAACGCAGCGCTCAGCTCTGGCCTCGCCACTCCCGGGGAACCCCTCTCCGATTGGCTGGGGCCTGGCTCCCCTGAGCCAATAGGAGCGCAGAGCTGGGGAGGGGGTGGAGCCGCCCTGGTTTATGAATGGGCGAGGGCAGCGCGGGCGCGATCCGGGCGTGGGGAGTGGGCAGAGGGACAGGGCAGGGACAGGGCAGGGACAGGGCTGGGACGGGGCACAGATAGGGCAGGGACAGGGCAGGGACAGGGCACAGATAGGGCAGGGACGGGGCACAGATAGGGCAGGGATGGGGCACAGATAGGGCAGGGATGGGGCACAGATAGGGATGCGGATACGGATCAGGATCCGGATACGGGCGGGGATGCGGGCAGGGCCGTGGGCAGGGCCGCTGCCTCAGCCTGAGGAGCTGGAAAAGGACCCAGCTGGCAGCCTGGAGATGGCCACCCCACATCTGTCACCACTAGGACCCCCCCATCGGCACCTCTGGGTCCTCTCTGCCACCACTGGGAGCCGCCTAGTGGCACCCAGCCCGGGCTGGGGGCCAGAGACTCCCTCTGCTGGCAGCTGCCCAAGAACATGCTGTTTTAATCCGGTTTTCTATAAAAACGGGGCTGAGGGATAAAGAAGGAGCAGCTCCGGCAGCGGGGGCTCTGCTGGGACGTGGCGCAGGGGGCTTGGGGTGCATCGTCTCCCATGGGTGCAGCAGCCCCGGGTCTGCCCGCGGTGGCACATTTGGGAGCTGCGCTCTATCCATGGATGCTACAGGACAAGGGAGCTGGGATCCAGCCACAGCGGGGACAGCCAGGCGACGGCCCCTGTCCCCAGGCCCCCTGTGCCATGTCACGGCTGGCCTCCCCCCGGGTGCCATCAGGACTCTGATGCCCGCGGTGCTCCCGTGTCTCCTCACAGCCGCTCCGTGGTGGAAGATGGCGCTGCCAGTGCCCAACAGCACGGCGGTGTCATGGGCAGAGCTGGAGCGGTCGCCCTGCCTGGTCGGCATCGTGCCCATCGTGTACTACAGCGTCCTGCTGGGGCTGGGGCTGCCAGGTGAGGGGGCTGGGGGGCTGGAAAGAAAACCCCGCAGGATGGAGGGACTTTATCTGCTCCCCCCCCGCCTCAGAGCTGGCCCCAGTGCCTGGCTGTGCTGCCCAGCCCAGGGCAGGTGCCACCGCCACGGGGACAGATGGTATTTGCATTGCTTGGGCTGGCACACAGAAGAGATTAATCAGCCCAGCAAATCCCCAGGGCACGGGGATATTTATAGCTCCCCTCGGCTGCAGCCTGGGCAGCTCCAGGGTCTGGGTGATGGGGGGGGATGTGAACCCCACCTCTCACCTCCACCCGTGGCTCCCCTCCCTGCAGTGAACATCCTGACTGCCGTGGCCCTGTCCCGCCTGGCCACCAGGACCAAGAAGTCATCGTACTGGTACCTGCTGGCCCTGACCACCTCCGACATCCTCACCCAGGTCTTCATCATCTTCGTGGGCTTCATCCTGCAGACGGCCATCCTGGCACGGGCAGTGCCCAGCGCCTTCATCCACACCGTCACCGTGCTGGAGTTCACGGCCAACCACGCGTCCACCTGGGTCACCGTGCTGCTGACCGTGGACCGCTACGTGGCCCTGTGCCACCCGCTGCGCTACCGCGCCGTGTCCTACCCGCGGCGCACCCGCAAGATCATCGCGGCCGTCTTCGCCGCGGCGCTGGCCACCGGCATCCCCTTCTACTGGTGGCTGGACATGTGGCGCGACGCCGACCCCCCCACGGCGCTGGACACGGCGCTCAAGTGGCTGCACTGCGTCACCATCTACTTCCTGCCCTGCAGCGTCTTCCTGGCCACCAACTCCGCCATCATCCGCAAGCTGAAGCGGCGCAGGCGCTCCGGGGGCGGCAAGACCACGGCCCTGCTGCTGGCCGTCACCGCCGTCTTCGTGGTGCTCTGGGCTCCCCGCACCGTCGTCACCATGTGCCACCTCTACGTGGCCTCGGTCAGGAGGGACTGGCGCGTGCACCTGGCCTTGGACATCGCCAACATGGTGGCCATGCTCAACACCTCCCTCAACTTCTTCCTCTACTGCTTCGTCAGCCAGACCTTCCGCCGCACGGTGGGCGAGGTGCTGCGGGGCCAGCCCCGGGCAGCCCCTCGCCGTGGCAGCGGGCACTTCCCTGCCCCGGCCCTCAAACCGCTGAAGCTGCTGGGCAGCACCGCGCTCTGAGCCGGGGCAGTGCCCGGCTGGCAGCGCTGTGCCCACCCAGCCCCACGCTTTGCACCAGGACCAGGGAGAGACCCCCACCCTGCACGGAGCCGGGGGTGCTGCTGGTGTGGGTGGCAGGAGGAGATGGTTGTGCCCAGACACTCATTTGGGGATGTCGTGGTGCCTGCCTGGCAGCAGCACCCCAGGGTGGGCAGCTCAGCCCTGCCCATGCTCAGCCCTTGGCACAACACTGGAACTCACCCAGAGAATTTACCCAGGGAACTCATCCTGGACACGTCCCAGCCCAGTGGCACCGAGGGTTCTGAGGAGCCCAGGGGCTGCCCGTGGTGAGGGGTGGAGGACACAAATGAGCTCCTGCGAGCCCTGACAAGGATGTGGTGCCCTCTGGGTGCCACTCCATAAACTGCCGTGCTGAGACCGAACTCCGCCTGGGTCCGGCTCCCTGCGGGCAGCTGGGACGGGGGCTCCGTGCTCCAGCCTCTGTGGCACAGGGTCCCTCTGCCCTGCCCACCCCCGTGCCCCTGCCCGGGGGAGCTGGGGGGAGCACCCACAGGGTCTGCTGTCCCCTGTGGTGGGTCTGGACACATGGTAAGATCGCAGCTCCCGACCCCCACCCATTAATCCCCCTGGCAGCAGCCCCAGGGCAATGCCCCCCTGCATCGGGTGCACCCAGTGCTGCCCTCCCAGTTACTCCAGTGCCAAACTGGTGTGACACTGGAGGAGCGGCCGTGCCGTGCCGTGCCAGCCTGTCCCCAGCTGCCGGCAGAGGGCAGGGATGGGACACTGCGGAGCTGGCACTGACGGGGCAGGGAGCTGGCAGCCCCAGCGCCCCAAACCAGCCCCGCCGCCACCCTAATTCCCTGTAAGGTCCTTAACGTAATCCCCCAAAACCGTCCAGCCTTTCCGCTCGGATTCCCCAGAGGGGCAGGACAGACCCGGGGGGTGCCCGGGGGGGATCAGGACCTCAGCTGGATCCTGGCAGGGCACAGAGACACCCCCAAGCCCAGCAGACCCCCTGCCCACCCCCGAGCCCGGCTGTGCCCGCACTGGGGTGGGAAGGGGCGCAGCCTTTGCCCCCAGGGTGTGGGGCTGACCCCCCCACGGACCCCTGCCCCCGGGCGTGGACAAGCCCCTCCGGGGATGTCACCTCATCCCGGGCAGGATCCCTGCCGGGGGACAGGGTTAAAGCCCGGGCCGGTGGCGCGGGGGGTACCTGGGAGGTTCTCGCTCCATTAATTCTGGCACGTGAGGAGAGCAGGAGCGGCAAGGGATTAGTTATTAACCCGACCGCGGGCAGGGGCTGAGGGGCCGCGGGGCGGGGGGCTCGGCTGCCTCGGGAACCCTCGGCGGGAGCTCCGCGATTGCCACCGGCCCCCCCGATTGCCACCGCCCCCCCGGTGCCAACCGGTGCGTGTTTACTTGGCAAGGGAGGTGGAAATGTGCTGACGGCGTCCGCCGGAGCGAGGGGCTCCGCTGGGAACGGCTCCGAGCCCCGGCCGGGGCGGCGGGAGGCTCTGGGAGGGCAGCGGGGACCCCCGGCTCCAGGCACGGCCCTCGCCCTCCCGAGGGGAGCCGCCGCGGGGAGGGGGCTCAGCCAGCCGTGCCCCGTGCCCGCCGTGCCAGCCGCCCGTCCCTGCGGCTCCCGAGGAAAGGTAAGCCTGGAAAAAATGCGTGCTGATGTTTTCGGGTAGAGCCTGGCCGGGGTCCAGGGGCCGGTGCTGAGCGCCATGGCAGCCCCCCGGCGCTGGAAGGAGCAGCTCTGCCCGGTCCCAGCGCTGGCATCGCGGCTCGCAGCCCACCCAGAGCGCCCGCGGCTGGGATCGGGCTCTGCCCGCACCGGGAGGTCAGGCCGGGGACCCCCAGAGGAAACCGAGGGTGGCATCACCCCCCAGTGACCCCACAGCCTCTTGGGATCCTTCTGTAGGACTTGCAAAAGCACCGGGAGCAGGCAGTGGGGGCTGGAAACGGGAGCAGGGTCCCGATGGGAAGGGGGAGAGGAAAACGCCCACGAGGGGTGGGACACGAGGGGTGGGACACGAGGGGTGGGACAGCAGGGGTGGGACAGCAGGGTCTCCGTGGGGAGGGGGCCGGAATCCCCCGCCTGGGGGGATGGGGTGTTCCCATGGGAAGGGGATGAGGAAATCACCCGCCAAGGACGGGACACGAAAGCAAAGGCTGTGCGGCCCCGGCGGGACCGGAGCTGCCGGTGGCCCCACGGGGGGTCACGGGGGTCTCGTGCTGACTCAGCAGCCGGGAAAGCCTCCGGCGGAAGGAAGCAGCCGGTGGAGAGGCCGGGCTGCGGTGTGGGGGCGGCAGGACAAGCGGCCTCCGCTCCCAGCAGCGCTTATCCAAAGCTGAGCCTTTCCCGGCTGACCAATCCTGCGGCCAAATCCATGGGGAAACTGAGGCACGAGGGTTGCTGCAGAGCCCCTCGCCTGCCCTGCCCTGCCCTGCCCCGTGCGAGGCAGGGATGATCCGCTCCCAAAAACCATCCGGGAGCCGAAGGATCCTTGGGAAGAGGGCAGGAGGGTGGCGGTGAGCCCGGGCACGCCGTCCTGTGCCCGGGGCTCCGGCGGGCGCCGGTCCTTGTGCCACGGGTGCCGCCGGTTCCGGTGGGAGCCGGTGCTGCCGCTGGCGGCTCTGCTGCCCTTTCTCCCCGGATTGTTTTCATCCCGGCCTGGATCGGGGCAGGCCCCGCCGGAGGCACATTGAACTTTCCTCTGCATCCTTCACCCTCTTGCTTCACCCTCCCGAAATAGCAGCTCCTGCCTGGAAACCTCTCCCAGGGCTGGCGGGGCCCCGGGGTGCCCCAAATCTCCCAGGGCTTTTCCCCATCCCCAGGGATGAATGGGGTGATTGAGGGGTGCCCATCCCAACTCCAGGGTGGCGGCCACCCCCATCGGGACAGGGACCACCAAACCTGCCAGTGCCGCGGGCTGGGGCTGCCCTGGTCCCCTGACCCTCTGCTGAAAGAGTTTCTGGGGTTTTCTGGGGTTTTCTGGGTCCTGCTGCCCTGCCAAGGGCTCCGGCTTTATCCATCAGCTGACATTCCTCCGGGAGGCCCCTCCAGGCCGGAGTATCCTTACACGGCGGGGAGCGCCACTCCCCGAGCCATCCCCGAGCCCACCGGGGCTGGGAGATCCCGCCTGGGTGACACAGACCCCGCTGCTCCGTCCCTTGTCCCCTGAGGGTCCTTCCTGCTGTGCAGCGCTCAGCAGGGCCAGGCTGAGAGCCCAGACCCATCACCCCATGGCCAGGTGGGCTCAGCCCTGCTTCACCCCCAGCCCGGGCTCTGCCCCCCCGGCCCCCTCCGTGCCCCGGTGCGGTGTCCCCGCCCGGTGCGGGGCAGGTCCCGGCCGGCCCCAATCGCGCTCCCGGGGCCGAGCCGCACCTCGGGGAGGGGCCGGGCCGGGGGGCTGCGGCCGGTGAGCGGGGCGGGGCGGGCGGCGAGCCCGGCGGGACCGGGGGCACCGGCAACGCCGACGGGAAGAGACCGGGACCGGGAGCCGTCCGCCCCCGCAGCTCCTCCGGCCGGAGATTTGGGGCGGCTCCGGCGGAGTTTCGGGGCCAGGACCGGGCGGGAGTGCCGGGAACCACCGGGAAGCACCGGGACGGTGCGGGAGGACCGGGCGGGGGGGACCGGCGGAGGGGCAGGGGAAGCGGGACGGGCGTGCGGCGGCACCGGGCCGGGGGAGCGGGGGAAGCCAGCAGGCGATGCGAGGGACCGGGCGGGGCTGCAGGAGGAGCAGAACCGGGGACGCGGGTGCAGCCGCCGGGGGCGCGGGGGAGACCGGGCGGAGGGTGCGGGGATACCGGGCTGGAGGTGGGGCGAAACCGGGCTGGGGGTGCGGTGGGAACCGGAGGCGGCGGAGCTCCTGGAACCCGCGGGAACAGGGACTCCGTCCCGGTGTGGTGCTGGGGGTCCCTGTCACCGTCCCGGGCCGGGGGGGGCCCGGTTCGGGGTGCCCCTCGGGGGACCGGGGGTCCCGGCCCCGGCATGTCCTTGCTGGGGGCTGGTGCTGGGGGTCCCTGTCCCCGTCCCGGGCCGGGGGGGCCCGGTTCGGAGTGCCCCTCGGGGGACCGGGGGTCCCGGCCCCGGCATGTCCTTGCTGGGGTCTCGCCCCGGTTTCCTCCCCCAGCAGTGAGGCTGCGGCTTCCTCACTGCCTCCTCTTCCCCGTGCCCACCATGAGGTGGCAGGAATGGGGGGGCAACGGTGGGGACAGGGACTGGGACCCCGTGTCGTGCCGTGCCATGCTGTGCCGTGCCGTGCCAGGCTGCGGCTGCCTACGTGCCAGCGGGCTGGACATGCGACCTGCACTGGGCCAGTGCCCAAAGCCAGAGGGAAGTGGGACAGGAGAAGTGGAAAGAGGAACGTGGTGCACGCAGGGACAAGGCAAGGGGACAGCCCTGTCCCCCAGTACCACCTCTGCCATCCGGTGTGGTCCCGCATTTGGGGTTCCTGGGAAGCATCAGGCACGGTGCTGCTCCTCACACTGGAGGAAGGGATCAGGAGAATTCCCAGAGAATTCCCATGTTGGGAGGGATCATATGGGGCACAGAGGGGCTGAGCCCCTCCTCAGCTGCCACCAGCCTCCAGGCAGGGAGCCAGTGTGGCTGCCTGGTCCCATCTGGAGCTCCGTGGCCGTGCTGGCTGAGCTCAGCTGTGCCAGCAGGGCAGAGCCCCCCGGGACCCCCTGCTCACCATGCCCAGTGGGGAGCACGGGCAGGGATGCTCTGGGCTGGGAGCTGATCCCCATCCCCAGCCGCTGAGCCCTGACCCCGCTGTGTCCCGCAGGGTCCCTGGATGCCACGGTGCAGGATGGGCACCACGGCCGTGCTGCTGGCCCTGCTCCCCACAGCCTCTGCACAGCCCACGCCACCCCCGGGCTGCGGCCACGACCTCTCCTCCCTCTACTACAACCTCTGTGACCTCTCGGCGGGCTGGGGCATCGGCGTGGAAGCAGTGGCCAGCCTCGGCGTGGTGACCACCTTCGTGCTCACCATCGTGCTGGTGGCCAGCCTGCCCTTCGTGCAGGACCGCCAGAAGAAGAGCCTGGTGGCCACGCAGGTCTTCTTCCTTCTGGGCACCTTTGGGCTCTTCTGCCTGACCTTCGACTTCATCGTGGGGCCGGATTTCTCCACCTGCACCTCCCGCCGCTTCCTCTTCGGCGTCCTCTTCGCCATCTGCTTCTCCTGCCTGCTGGCCCACGCCGTGGCCCTCAACTTCCTGGCGCGGCACAACCGGGCCCCGCGGGGCTGGGTGACGCTGGCGGTGGCCCTGTCCCTCGCCTCCGTCGAGGCCATCATCAACGCTGAGTGGCTCGTCATCACGGTGGCGCGGCGCGAGGGCGGCCCCGCGGACCCCTGCCAGCTGGCAGACGCCGACTTCGTCATGGCCCTCATCTACGTCATGGCGCTGCTGGCGGCCGCCTTCGGCGCAGCCTGGCCCCCGCTCTGCGGCCGCTACGGCCGCTGGCGCAAGCACGGCGCCTTCATCC